CATAAATACTGCAGAAATGATATAAAACCGGTGAAGGGCTGATGGGGTCTCTGGTTGCAAAGCTACCTTGAATCTTAGTCGAACGAAATAAAAGAACATGGCAACGAACCTTAAGGCGCAATAAATGCGTAATATCCATTTTTCGAAAGAAATATACAGGAATTAGTCACTGAGGAGTCCGAACATGTATTTTTATCGTCCAGAATGTTCGTCTGTTCATCGCCGAGAAAACGCTAATATTTTAAGAAATATGCAGTAACAGAGTATGGGCACTGGGCAGTTATTGCCCCACTCTCAAAAGAGCATAAACTCTTTCTCAATCAGTATATCTGGTCAGCAAGTTAGTCCCCTAACGCTGCTTCCGTGCATACAGCCCAGAAACGGTAGCAAATAATCGCTGACCTGCGATCGATCAACCGGAACAGTACGGTGTTCTGATACGGTAGTATAAAAATGGGCGCCGCTGTTTGATGCGAGCTACTCACATGTCTTTAATTCGTTTTCATCCTGAGGGATACCTGATTATCCATTCCGATAATCCAAAGTGTAATCTCTGAAAAAATGATGTAATCGAGATGTGTCTTGGTTCTTACTCCAAAGCATATGCAAGTCGTCTTTCCAATACAATCAGATTGCAGTACGTGCCGTTGATCTGAAAAACATGTTTCCACCAAATCAACCAAAGACGGTTTGTGCGGCGTTTTCTAAATAACGTGTAAATCTTGTTTTAAAGATATTCTTTAACTGCAGAAGCACCGAGAATGAAAACCGGGTTTTCATAACAACCACAAGGATTAAATTTTTTACTGATTATCACGTTCAATAAGCCTCTATTAGATGGGTGAAGGCGAAGTGCAGCCATGTGAGGTAGTCGCAGCAGATCTTTTGACACAGTCGATATTTCGGATCTCGCATGATGGGAGGATGCCCGGCACAGCTTCTACTGCCTTGAAGAGCTACGGTACTAGTGAAAGCCGTGACTTGAACCCAGAAAGGGTCGTTTAATATTCGTCTATCGAAGAATTGCCAGCCTATCCAAGGCGGTGTTTTCTTATCTTGATGTTCAATATCCGGTTGGTCTTTTCAATGTACACCTTGTCGCAGTCTCTGTGGTGAACTTTGTATACAACATTTAACACATCTTCCGGGTTGTTAATGGGCATGTACTTTTCGTATAAAATGTACTTTTCCAGTCTTGTAGTAGACCCAAAACCCCATGTTATTAAGGAATGTCGTGATACGTTGAGATATTTGGGGTATGATCGGTAAAGTTACCATTAGTCCATGCGAACTGGTCAACTTTAAATCTGAGCTGGGGTGCAAAGGATTCGCTGGATTCTGGTTCGGTAAACGTTTTAAAGGTACCTTGCTACGCCCCGCTTTGGTCAGGTTGACAACTCCGGTGTTGCCCAGCATGCGCTGAAGGGCATTCTTTCAGTCAGACCAATGTGACTGTCAAAGACAAATCCATTATATGCAGGACTCCTTGCATATACTGGTAATAAAAAACGGATGTGTAATAACGAATATGCATCTTGTGTTACTATCGATGAAAGCTAGGGCGCAATTACAAAACTGACAGCCAAAATTCAGTATGATAGATGCGATTTATTCTGATGTGGGATTTATACTTTGTTCAGACAGTGTAACAACGTCTTGACTGTATGTGATGAGCCATTTGAGAAGGGCACGCGCCCTTGATTTCAGATGCCTAGGAAACAACAGGCGAATACAACAGTTGAAGCAGTCCTTGACTGCACAGCATCTGAGAATATGTACTGAATGGATACAAAACCTGGTCACCGAATAAGGCGCGAATTAGGATCGATCACAAATTAGGATGCCAAAATCCACAGGCGTTTTTATATGCATCGAAGATCACTACAATATTCTAAGGTAACTGCTAACAACGATACTCTCCAACGTCGTCTGCAAAAACAACGTCGGTCACTTAACCGGACTCTGAAACGTCATTTTGTCGTTTTTTGTAAACAGTTCGAACCACTCTACGTCGGATCGAAAGGAAACTTGCAAGTGGAAATCGAAACGCTGGCCTTGCCTTACCAATTGGCAAAGTTTGTTTGCTTTCGGTTAGATAATCCTCAGTTATAAGTGCAATGTTTTCATAGCACTGAAAGAACTAATCATGGAGAAAGCAAGGAACGGAAAGTTTGTAACTTTTCTGTCATCATAAACTTCTGCATCCTTCCACGACTTGAACTACCTGTTCTTCATGTCCTTGTGGTTCGATGTTGATCTCTGTCAACATACCACTAGCCACAAGCGCCACCTTTGTTTCTGAAGTCAAAGTCGAGCATACGACGGCGTCATTCCATTCTTCATCTCACACTTGAACCCAGCACTGTGGAACAAATTCGACAGACGTCAGTCCGGTAACCTGTGAACTAATTCGTACGAAGCGCAGTGGTCAGCTTCAACGACGCTTCACTTA